TCTACTTTCAAAGCAGAGAGGATGTTTGCTGAGGTCTGGGGGTCGATTGAGCAGAAACAATATTAAAGTTTATCTTAATATGCCTAGGAATAATGATTGCAAAGGAGCAGGGCAGAAAGACACAGTATACGTTCACATGAAGAGCACAGAGAGGAGAGGTAAGAGAAAAAGGCAGGTGGGAGAAGACAAGATGGAGAAGAGAGAGGAGTTGGGACTTGAAGCTTGTGCCAGGCGAGAGCCCCTACTTCTTGATCATCCAAATCAAACCTGACTGGAGATAAATATTCGAATCTTGTTATAGAGAGAGTGATTTTCTGTGTGTTTTTAGGGAACTTGGGTTTCCTGGGTAAAAGATACCTCAGTTAGAAATGTCTTTCCTGATTAGGGTGCATTTTATGGATAGGGATATAGGCTCCAATTTGTGTGGTGGCATCCAGAGTGCAAAGAGAGAGATTTAACTGCAGGTTGCTTTGTATTTAGTTAGAAGGTAGCACATCTCTTGTGTGGCCTCTTTAGGCATATTAAGAGTTTAGTACTTAGTAGCAGTCTGAGGTCTTCTGGGTTTTCTGGTTAGGTCGGTCCTCTCTATAACCACCATCTTACTTACTGGCACACTGACATGGAGATGCCCAAGGCTGCTACTTTATCAGAGCTTTCCTGGTTTCAATAACAAAATATGTGTAGGGGTCTTCCTACTCCCAGCACCATTCTAAATTTGGGAGTGTTTACATTTACCAGATGTATTACTGAGATTGAGCTTCCCCTGAAGCTTTGATCCTGATGGGTCTAGCTGCCCATGAGTTGAACATCAGAGCCTTCCCATGCCCTCTGATGCTTCCTGACACACTTGCCAGTGGGGGTCCAACACCCCCAAGTTGACCAGGACTGTTTACTCACTAAAGTAAGCAGTATATCAGGAGTTGGCTTTTCATAGGTGAGGCCAGTTACAGTACATGTCCACGTGCATATGTGTTTTCCTCTGTGCCTGGAGTGTCTCATCAGGATACTTTGTTACTCACAGAGTTACCCTGTTACATGGTTTGATATAAATAGTATTCTTAACAGATTATAAAAGAGTAAGGTGCTAGGAAACATTTTTAAAAATGCCCAGCAAAGTTTTTCACTAAAGAACATGGCAGTTGAGAGTTTACATATTTAAAAAGCATTCAAACTTGTAATATTATTATTTTTTTCTTTTCTGTTCTACATGAAGTCCTGTAAATTATTGGGGTTTTTTTATTTTTAAAATAAAACAGCTTGTCTCATGCTCTCTGGCAGATTGAACTATTTATACAGGAAGCAGCTGCAGGCAATATTGATGTTGCACTTGCACGTATAAAGAATAAACACATCCGAAGAAGGCTCCACAGCTGAAATGTTGTGTTTCTTTTCTTCTCCTTTCAGCATGGAATAAACCTTTATTTGTTCCTTTATAGAATAAACATGTTTATGGCAACAGAGGAAGTAAATACAAGTTGGAAGTTTAATTTCAATATGGGAGTTGAATAACATGTTTACTTTTTTCAAAAATAATATTCAAATAGAGATTTCAAAAAGCATTTTAATTGGTTCACAGTATCAGGTAGAAAAAATATTTATTTATCAAAGGTATCTTGATAAAATCTGGGGAATATAGAACATGAACAGTGCAGCCAAGTAACAGAATCCAATGGAAATAGATGGAATGCTTCAGTAACAATGATTAATGAATTCATAACAATTAATTACACTTCACAATAAAGAAAAATAATTATTGTATGTAATGCTGAAACTAATATTCTTCCACCAGCTGTCTCGGTTTAATATAAGTGCATCACAAATTGAAATGCCCAGAGCCTCTTAAGGCTCACTAAAATTCTGCTGATGTACAATACCTGTACGAGTATAAAATCAGATCTAAAAATTGATTTAAAGTGATCCATTAAATTTTGTGAAAGTTTCTATTTTATCTATAACTTTATATTATTAAATCACTGTTCTTGTATTAAATATATGTAAATCATATCAATTTGTAGTAAACTGGAAATGTGAGTACTAGTGATCAGGACCAACAGTAATTAAAACTAACTTTATTCTCCAGTTTATGGTATAACTACTTTGGCTTTAAGTCCTTTCTTTGTACTGTATAGAGTCATGACAATAATTTTAGTTAAAATTGAATAAATTTTTGTTTAACAAAATATTCAGCTAAAAAGTCTTCTACACACTTGTTTCCATCTTTTCATGTATATGTAGTTATGTGTATACAGGGTGCAAATACTAAACGGTATTTCTATAACTTGATACTCTTCTATGGAATTCTGTTTTTCAGGTTGGAGTGATCAACTTAGTTCACAGCCACAATGCAACACAACATTTTCAGGAAAATGTAGTTTCTCACACTAGAAAAGAATTGTACACCCCTTCCCTACTGCTATGGTACTTCATTTACAGTAGTTGTGGGCATAAATATCAAAAAGGACAGATTTTTCTTAATAAGCATGCTAGAGTTTATGAATACAATAACAATAATGCATACTGTGTAAGAACATACAATATATAATATAATATATATATATATTAATATATAATATAACCTATAATACAATGATCTGTCCGTGATTCCTTCATTGTTTGTGATTAGTTTTACATTAGTTTTTGGGAAAGAGAACAGTATACCAAGGTCACCACAAGATGGTGACAGAGACCATGAGTTTCTGTAGCAAACCTGGATACTCGGGAGGATTTCTGTTTCCTAGTTGAATCAGCCATGATGTAGCATAGCTACGGGAAAAGGGAAGCATTTCCCTTTTTAAGAGACTAACTTGTCACAGTTAGAGAACATAATGTTGAAGGTAGTAGCTTATAGCTTGTTCAAAGTGCTCATTCAGTACATCTGAGCAGACTGTATCTTGAATGCTAGGTTAATCCACGTTTCAGTCCTTTGGCAGTAGTAAACCTGCATCAGAAAACCAGTTAGATGGGTTTTCCTTGTGTAAAGACAGTATCCATGCAAAGGTCCCAGACCACCTTACCATCTTCTGCACCTTTCATGTTCCTTTAGAATGCAATATTCTAAAGATTAAACTCCATGTAAGAATACAGAACTAATAGACTAATGCTTAGAAAGTAGTAGTCTTAGTAACAATCCTATTTGCAATCAGACATCTAAAACAGGGGTTCTCAATCCTGGTCCTGGATGACCACACAGCTGCTTATTTTTGTTCCATTGCAGCTTTGAGTTTTGTATTAAACCCTTTAATTAATTTATCTGTGGGATTAATTTGAACTGTTTGACTGTTTTCAACTCTTAAATGTGTTATAGGTAATCTTTTAACTATTTAATTTTGGCAGTGAAATATAATCCCAGACTTTCAAGTAGAAAAAGCAAGTTGCAAATATTCCTATCAAACAACTTGATAGTGGTTTCATTTTGGGTAATTGGGCCCAGCTGGAATGAAAACCATCAGGTTTGTGGTCCTCTAGGAGCAGGTTTAGAAATCAGCTGCCTAATTAATGGTCACCATGTGTATATTAGTACTGCAGTGGAGAGGATTGGACGCCCACAGGCTGAAATGTCTTGGCCTAATTGAACGTGAAGATTTATTCAAAAAACTTGTTTCCATTTATTTTACCATCAAGTACAACAGCACACCAAAGATATACTGTATTTCTAAATGAGAACAACACGATAAAGTGTGGAAAAGCAGAGTAGCTCAAATAGCTAATCTATTGTTTTCACAGCTATAGATACATCCATATTTTTATAAAGATATGAAAGATTTAGATATTGAGTATTTTTATAGTTAGATTAGCAGTATACTGTATATGAAATTATTCTGCACATTGCTCGAGTAATCCGTTCATTGTATATTTTAATCTGTTTCAGCTGGAAATGTTTTGATGTGAGTAGAGCTAACATGCAACACAGGCTTGAAAAACTGTTCTTTTCATCAAAGCCATGACCATTCTTTACAATATATGCAAAATAAAAAAAATCCTGAAATCTCAAGTGTGTTTTGGATGAGCCAGATGACCTATTACCCTGACGAGGACAATTTACTTGCTGCATTCCTCAATGCTTGTAGCCCTTTAATTCAGACCTTTTTTTTTCTTAGTGTTTGAAATTGCATAAATAGCTAACTCTTTAAAGTCTAACGCATTGTTTCCCTTGCTAGTGCAAGTTAATGCTCTTTTTTCATTACTGTTCTGTGTTCTGTTAAAGATAAGATTAAAATGTATGCCAACCATAAATTGATAATATTTTGTTTAATGTTACAGTATATGTATTTAAGTGTGGGTTGTGATGGTTGCCCTGCATTCAGTTTTTAATATACGGTAAAAATTTCTGCTAACAAGTATTAGAATGGAATAGCAATGAAATATAAGATAGGAGAGCAAGCCAGGAAATTGTTCTGCAAATTTGCCAAAGGTCTTTTCTGCAGTGTGCTGTGCAATGTAAAAGGAAGGCTAAGGTAATGGACCTTGTAAAAGGCAGAACTGTTGATGTATGTGCTTCTTGTGAAACCAGCAGCAGACCTGACTGACGTATTAATTTAGACAGGCCCAAGGATTTACAGACAGTGATTGGGAAATGTAACAAAAATGCTAAAAGGACATTCATCTGAGTTGCACTATGCATGTCTCAAGTAGAGATGAGTTACCTGCTGTTGGAGCAGTGGTTCCGTACAATATCTCTGTGAACATCTGACAGCAACCTGTAGAATCAGTGCTGTGACATGTTGCCCCTGTAATTGGCAGCTGTAATAAGCTATTAAATGTAATTCATTTAGACATGTGGTAAGACACTATATATTGTAAACATTAAATGGCCACATATAAAGATGGCAGTTTTTAATGGTTTTTAGTCTCCTCAAAAATCAGTGCCTCTGTGGTTTACAGTAAGGCCCATAACTTAAATGTTACTGTGGAAATATGTTAAAATTTTGTTCCAACTGGCATTGCTTTGAACAACTAAATATCTACAGTTTAGGGTAAGAGAAACAGGCAGGAGTAGGTGGTATTTTTTAAGCTCTGCATTTTATTTGGTTATTAACACGCACAGTCATTGTGTCTAATCTAAACAAATGAAAAGGACTGATAACACATCAAATTTGACCAATGTGAAAAGATAATGGTAAAAACAGGCATTTGTGAAATAAAAAGGCAATGTCAAGCAAGCTATTCTTTCATGCCATTCCTGTTGGTCCTATTCATTATCTTTCCCCTAGTGTTTTACGATTATCCCATCTTCCCATGACACTAGTCCTTCCTTTTTTACTTTCAGTTACTTTATTATAATTCTGACTTTGACAGCTCATCAGCTTTTCAACTAATATATTTTAACTATCTGAAACACCGACCTCATGGTACTGTACAATTATAAAAAAAAACACTTTCACAACACTTACCCTGTACACTTATAAGAGGGATGTATTGTAGCCATTTAAAAGTTTTTGAAATTGTAAATGTGTTTATTATTTTATAAGTAAACATAGAATACGTAGTGAATACAAGGAGTTTATGTGTAAGTTAAAAAGTGAATATAGTGTAGACTGGAGACTGTTTTTAAGCCCATACCCTGTGTATCAGTGGATAGTGGATATTTTTTTTATCCACACATAAGGCAGTCAAAATCCTTCTTATGGTTGTCTTCTATGCCACGGTCAGCCAGCTCCTGAATAAAGGTGTTTATTATCTGTTGTTTTTGACCGTACTTTGTTTTCTTGCAGTCTTGGTCCTTTGGAAAATATGTGCTATTAACTCCAGAAACATGCAATGTAGATTCTGTGGGGAAAAGTATTCAGCATATGTGTTAAAGCAATTTTGAGGAGAAAATAAAATAAAGGGGAAAGGTTAAATTTAAGGATAGTATTTCATCTTTAGTGTTTACCAAAACAGATGTGTAGCAGAGCAGTATACCTCAGCGAGAATATACTATGGTAAATGGTAACACTGACAGTCTCTCTAATGTTGTGATCTGACTTCATTAGCAGGGAAGTTTTCTAAAGTGAAAGTACCTTTAGCATGGAATGTATCTACAGATTAAGATTATAGTTGATCTCATATATAATATAAGAGTGATAGTCCTTCTTCCAGGGATAGAAAAATCTAGGCACTACAGTCAAACTAAAGGCTATTGTGAAGAAGAACAGTCAAAGTCAATAGGATTTTCCTAAAATTCCTATATTTTCCTCTGGGAGTAAACCTTTTTCAGAATGCCTCATATGTTTTTTTTAAAAACATGAATTAAAATAATAAATTTAATGCAGTACATATGCAGTATGTGCTTCACAGTGATAAAATATTTAAAATATTGAAAAACTCACTGTTACAGACAGCCAGTGTATTTCCACCAATGTACTGAGTGCTCCACATATTTTTGTTGTGTTTTCCACATGTTTCATACAATCGACTTCTCCTCAAGAATGCAAAATCAAACTCCTTAAAAAAGACAAAGCCAGTTAGTTGGCCAGAAAGTTGGCTATATTTTTCGTTGCTGAAAACAGCTTTGAAAGTCATCTGTAAAGCATGCTTTTTAACATAACCCAACAATATAATAATTAGCTACACTTCTGGATACTCCACTCAAAGCGCTTTAAAGGTAATGGGGACTCCCCTCCACCACCACCAATGTGCAGCCCCACCTGGATGATCCGACAGCAGCCATAGTGCACCAGAACACTCACCACACATCAGCTATCATTGGGGAGGAGAACAGAGTGGTGAAGCCAATTTATAGATGGGGATTATTAGGAGGCCATAATTGGTAAGGGCCACTGGGAAATTTGGCCAGGACACTGGGGTTACACCTCTACTCTTTACAACAAACACCTTGGGATTTTTAATGACCGCAGAGCTCAGTTTTTTGTTTCATCTGAAGGACGGCGCCTTTTTACAGTAAAGTGTCTCCGTCACTATACTGGAGCATTAAGACCCACATGAACTGCAGGGTGAGCAACCCCTTGCTGGCCCCACTAACACCAAATGCAGCAGAAACCTTAGTTTTTCCCAGGAGGTCTCCCATTCAGGTACTGACCAGGGTCACACCTGCTTAGCTCCTGTGGTTTGCCAGTTGTGAGTTGAAGGGTGATATGGCTGCTGGCATACAATACAATATAACATTGTATGCTATACTGTTCTTTTGAATATGAAAGGGACAATCATGAGTTGTTTTCAGCAGTATGTCATGACTAAGATAAACTATTTTGTGAAGCTGCTGTTGAGCAAATTTGTATAAGCAGAAAAGAGCAGAATAGTAAAGAAATTATTGAATTGCTCTGTAATATGTCAACACAGTATTCAGTCCATTAATAGGGTAATCATTAAATGATCAAAATAACAAATTATGGGGAAAAATAAGATGGCGCATTAACTTCCATTTAATATTATTGTCCTTGTAACTGGGATTTTAGTGTAATAAATATTCAAACTTTTATTAAGCCTCTCTGAAAAGTACTTAATTGCCTGTCTGCACTTGTCTCTGTTTACAGTATGTACTGTACCGTACATATACTGTATAATGGTAATTGCACACGATGCAGTTATTTATGGTATTGGTACTCCAGAATTTAGGGTCTTAATTTGCTGGTGGACTCACTTTACAACTTCAACATTTGTTGAATAATTGCAATAATGGAACTACAAATAGGAACTACAACATCACAATATATTTTGATACTCTGAAGTTTTTTGATAAAGGTTATTACTTAAAATAGTCAAGATATTAGTTCTAATAAAAACTACAGAATTATATAGAAACAGGAGAGTAGAGATAAGTGATGAATGCTCAGATTGGGGTGTTGTAATAAGTAGCACAAAGATCTGTATTAGGACACTGCTCATTACAATTTACTGTATACTGTGTATTGGAAAAATAAATTCTGGCAGAGTAAACTAATTATATTTGCAGATGATACCAAACTTTGAGGATTAGCATACACTTCTGAAGCAGCAAAGTTATGAACAGACACCAGTCTGGTAACATTTAATATAGATAATTGCAAAGTGCCAAATGCAGGTATCAATAAAATAAAAAAACAAAGAGGATGAATCCCTACCTATGAAAAATCTTTACATTTTTACATTGACACACTATTGTACTCCTCTAGACAATGTGTGGAAGCAATAAATAAAAAATAAAAAAGCAACCACAATTTTTGAATATATAGCTAAAAGTATAAAATTTAAATCCAAGGATGTTATATCTATCTTGTACGATGTTTCATGTATATAAAGTTGGTCACCATATTAAAATTAAACAATATGGCTGCTTTAGAATTAGTCCCAAAAAAACAGACACCATAGTAGGCACATTTTGGGCTCAAACAAATGCCCTACACTGACAGGCTAAAAGAGAAGAATACAAAGGGGATCTGATTCAAGAATCCAGAGTTCTTAAAGGTTTTGAATAAGTCAATCCTGTAGACTTCTTCAGAATCAACGGTGAAACACAAACCAGGGGACACAAGTAGAAATTATGGGTAAGTGCATTTAAATCTCAAAATGAGACACTTTTTCGCACAAAGGATTGTGGGTGTCTTGTTAAAGCTGATAAACTCGCGTGTTGAAAGAAAAGGGTGGATGTGATCCTCAAATCAATTTGATACAAACAACCCAAGGAGCTAGACGGACCAATGGACTTCTCATTTTAAGCTTATTTTGTTGAGGCAGCACTTACTTCCACAGAGTCATTTACAGTATGACTCATATACCTGAGTGCACTCATCTGAACAAAAGCTTTTTCTTATATTAAGGATGAAGCTTCTAATTCCTTCTGCTTTCGGTGATTGAATATTATTATAGATACAAGTAATAAGTGTTACGATCCCTGCCTCTCAGCAACGGAAGAGGCAGAAGTAGGCGTAGCCCTAAATCCATCAGTTTACCTATCAGTTTTCCTATTCACCACCACACCCCCGTCTCATCCTACTTAAACACCTGTCTTTCCCTACCTCTTTGCTCAGTATTGGTTTTCCTCTCGAGCTTCCTGGTCACGCTACTCCTTCTTCTACCTTGTGTTCTTTTTGGCTTTCGGTTACGGTTTCTCCCCTTTTGACTACGGCTTTTTGGATCACGGTTTGGCTTTGTTACTCACGCTCTGTTTTGGATCTCTGGCTTCCCCTGGACTATTGGATTGCTCTACTGTCTACGATTTCGGATCATGCTTTGGCTTCGGTAACTCGTTCCCTTTTGGATCTTTGGCTTCCCCTGGACTCTCGGCTCGTTCCTTCGACTACGGCTTTCTTTGGATAACGGTTAGGCTTTGTCAGCTCCTGCAAGTGGGTTCACTCACTGGATTCGGTTTCTCTTACCGAATCCGTAACAAGTTTATTCCATCCTGAAAAGAGAAGAAAGAAAACACAACGTTTCGGCCGTGGAGCCTTCTTCAGGTGTGAGAAAGACAAGGCAGTAAGCAAAGGTAATTTAGGAGGAGGACAAAAGCTGGAAGAGAGGAGGTGCGAGAGGTGGGACCAGAGGACAGACAGAGTTGCCAATCAAGTAGTGAGGAGTCAGGATACAGTAGGTGAAGAGAGGTGTGAAATGAAACCTAAAATGAACAGAGAGAATTTAGAAGAATAAGTCTGTCATTAAGAGAAGGGGAAACGTGTGATCCTAGCTGCAGGATAATTTTAGTTTCTGTAGACTTTCTGATGTTGGAGTTTGGAGAACCAGCTTTGAGAACACAGGCAGAGAGATTAGTGTGATCATGGCCATCAGAGGTGAAGTGAGAAACAACAGGTTTGGAGAAGCACCTGAACTATTATTATAGTGCTTCCCTACCACCCCAACACACTTTCTATCCCCAGGACTTTTCCATCCTACTGGATGATCCCTCCATTGGAGCCCTCTTTTCTGACCACCCCATCATCTCATATTGCCGACCACCTAATCTGCATGACCTTCTTGTTCACTGCTCCCTTGACCACCCTCAGCAACCATCCACACCAGCACTTTCCCTTGCAACAGAGCTTGCAAATACCTGCAAATACATATCTAACACCACACTCATAAGATAAGATCACTTTATTAGCCATATACAATTTCTTGCATTAGGAATTTGTCTTTTCACATACCCCAGCTCTCCATGAGACACACAGGCAGGGAGAGAGAAGCTTGGGGTCAGAGCATAGGGTCAGCCATTTATACAGCGCTCCTGGAGCAGTTGGGGTTAAGGGCCTTGCTCAGGGGCCCAACGAAATAGGATTCCTCTGCTATCCACAGGATTTGAACCGGCAACCTTCAAGCCACAGTGCCACCACTCCCCTCATTCAAGGCCACTCAGGACAATTCTGGATCACTCAGATGACATCTTGTACCTCCAGCAACCTTATTTACTGTATCTCTTCCAGTACATGCCCAGCCATGTTCATTGGGACAACAGGAAGGAGACTCGGAGACTGCTTCAGAGAACATGTTAGAGCTGTGAAGATTAAAGATTTCTCCAAACTTATTGATTCTCATTTCACCTCTGATGGCCATGATCACACTAATCTCTCCGTCTGTGTTCTCAAAGCTTGTTTTCCTAACTCCAACATCAGAAAGTCTAATTTTCTTCTAAATTCTCTCTATTCATTTTAGGTTTCATTTCACACCTCTCTTCACCTATCCTGATTTCACACTACCTGATTGGTCACTCTGTCTGTCCCTTTGCCCCGCCTCCCACTCCTCCTCTCTCCCAGCTTTTGTTCTCCTTGCAGTAAAGTTCTCCATGCCGTATGCTACTTTACTTTTGCTTACTGCCCTGTCTTTCTCACACCTGAAGAAGGCTACACGGCCGAAACGTTGTGTTTTCTTTCTTCTCTTTTCAGCATGGAATAAACCTATAACTTATTATTATAGATGCCCAAAAGAAGGCATCTGAAGAAGACTGATTACAAAGCATAATTACAGGTATTTGGTATAATAAATATAGCTTGGAGGGAATCTCTACCCTAAAGAGATTATTTAGTCTTTTTGTCTTTTCAAACATATCAAAAAGATGTTGAAAAGACTGGCCTCAACATATAAACAGAAATAAAGGCCTTGTTTTCTTTAATAAAATGGTATGCTTCTTGTGCAGTTTTAATTTATTCCTCATTTTAATGGGAGACAAAGACAATAAATGCTCTACAAAAATAAAGTATAGGCTCTTTGGTAAATTGAGACCTTGGCTCTTATTTTCCTATGAGCACACTGCCCACTGCATGTGAAATGCCAGATTATCTCGTTCCCTGAACACTTGTTCATCCTTTAATATCATTGACAGTATTAGTATATGCAGGTTGGAATATGATGTCATAAAGGTTTAATTAGGTAGTAGTGATCAGCAGAAGCATTTTCTAGCCTTCTGAGTTCTTTGTAAGCTTTCGGGTACAGTAAAAAGATTTCAATATCACAAGATTTCTTGTGATACAAAAGGCAAATCTGTATGTGAAGGTGTTAGAACTTTTTCTGTTAAGAAA